AACCCTAAACCGCCCTAAACCCTACCCTTATCAATCCCGGTAATGAAGACCCACTAAGCCCTAAGCCCCGGAATGAAGGAACCTGCAGAGGCAGGTCCTATGCAACGTAGAAGTCTGAAGCATGAGTTTAGGGGTTTAGGGTTTAGGGTTTAGGGTTTAGAGTAATATGGGTGGTTGTCAAAATTAGGGTCCCTTTTGGGGTACCCTACATGATAGGTGCCGTATTATAAATAAGGACCCCAAAAGGGGACCATAATTTTGACAACCACCCATATAGTATAGGGGTCTCAAGGTTTTAGGGTCTTAGGGCTTTAGGGTTTTTGGGTTTTAGGTTTTAGGAGTGTAGGGTTTAGGGGTTTAGGGCTTTAGGGGTTCAGGGTTTAGGGCTTAGGGCCGTCTCCAATACTATTTTCGGTCGTATATTATGGTTTAGGGTTTAGGGTTTTGGTGGGGTATACTATATAGCCTAAGTATCATGAGGAACTCCCCAAAACCCTGCTTCAATTATTAAGGCACCTACATTAGCAACGCCCTGGTTTTCCTCCCTCCGTTTGTCTGTCTCTGTCTGCCTGTCTCTCTCTCTCTCTCTATCTCCATCTTTCTCTCTGTCTCCATCCCCATACATATATATATATATACACACACACACATGATATCAGGTAGCCTAAAATCACGAAAGCTTGTTCTAGCAGCATCACGGCCCTATAGACTGTGTTGTAGTCGGGAAGGCCTTTGAAGTACCAAGGTTTATCCTATGCAACCCTACCTACACGCCCTTGGAGAAGCCGTCCATACGCGATTGTCGCGCAATACCTGGCTGGGAATAGAGAATGGATGGACCCGGCAGGCCCAACCCCAAAGCTTCCTAAGTACCTATATGGCAGAATGTAGGGTTTCTATATTAGGAATTACTTTTTATGAATTGGGGGAAGTATTCCCCATAACCGAGGACCCTTTGGGAACCTTGTGGGATGTGTTTTCCAGAAAGAATGCAGGCGACTGCATATCCCGTCTTTACGGCGGAGAAAGTCCATAGTCAAACCGGGCGCTGGTTACCGTGGCATGAAAGAAGGAGCTGCCGCCGAGGATGCGATCGCATCGAGATCTTCTCTTCGTCGTCGTTCCTTTTCTTGCGGAACCGTTGGAACAAAACCAGAACACATGCGGTCGAGGGCAGGGAGGACCTGACGCACGAGTTCCCTGTCAGCTTTCAGGAAAGAAAGCCTATACCTCAAGCCCTACTTACACCCCAAGCCCTCAACCCTTAAACCCTACGCCGTAAACGGTTAAACCCTAAAACACTAAAACTCCTTGCTTAGACTTTGTTTTGTGTCTAGGCCTGTAGGGTATGGCCCTTCGCTTTTTTCGTTTGCAGGAGTATGCCACCCCTGAATTCTTGACCTGACATCCTTACTCAAAGCCGTAGCCGCACAAGCCTACCTTCTGGGGTTCCTTACTGTGGTGTATGCTTTCTGTCATAGACACTTCATAGGGAGGGAGTGCTTGTAGTTAGTCATAGGCTATGTCATAGGCAAGTCCTTCATACGGCACGATGTAGAGTCACGGCCATTTTGGGTGTGACATAGTCGGATCGAAATGAGATAGGAAACCAGATCAAAACGAAATCCAAATCATTGACGGAGCCGGCCATGCAGGCCCATGTCCCGCTCGCCACTACTACTACTACTACTACTACTACTACTACGACGACGACGACGACGACGACGACGACGACTACTACAACTACTACAACTACGACCGCGACTTAGTGCCCGCACCCGTTCAACACCCTAAGCCCTCAAGCCCTTTAGCCCTACTTGGACCCTATGAAACCTACCCTTTCTCGGGCTCCCTATTATGATTTCCGTTCAAAAGTCCTTCAAGAAGACAAGCTATTTGGGGTGCAGGTAGAAGCTTCAACCCTGTGGGCCCCCTAAAGCCTCAGCCCTAAGCGCCTTTTTCCTTTGACTTTGAGGAGTATGCGAAGCTCCACTTCGAGGTTGAGGAGTTTAAGCACCTTGGCGACAGATCCGCTGCCACGGGTTCCAGCAAAAGTATCAAAGACCTAAGTCCGGGTCTAGGGCTTAAAGGGGTCAAGACTCGGGATTTGGGGCTTAGGCTGCAAATTGCAATCTTCAGGTTTTAGAGTTCAGTGCTGAGTGAAACACAAATTCTCGAGTTGTTTAGTTTTTTGTTCCCTAAACCCTAAACCCTAAACCCTAAACCCTGTTTCGGATTGCAGGGTCGAGCTTCAGATGTCAAGGTGCTGGGGCTTGGTTTCTCGGGGTCATTCAGCTTTCTGCTGTTTCGGCTTGAAGGTTTGGGTTTAGGGTTTAGGGTTTAGGGTTTAGGGTTTAGGGTTTGGTGTGTGTGTGTGTGTTGTCTGACATCCCAGTGTTCGCACGCCGCGTTTAGTGTTTTGGGTTTCGGTTTCAAGTTCAAGGCTTGACAGAGCTTTGGCCTGGGAGTTTTCATGGTGTAGAGATGGAGCAACGTAAATTTGTAAACTTCCGCCTTTGCTTCCTTGTGCTTTATTTTGGTCCGGCTACCCTCAACATTCCAAAACAACCACGAACCACGGTGTGCATTTTTCTGAACGGGCCCTATGCGTCGGAGGCCAACCACAGCTGCTTTCTTCATGCCCAGTCCATGTACAGGATCCCAAACTAGGTAGGGAATTCGGAATTGTTTTATGTTTTTCTCATGGGGCTGAAGAGGATCTTATTTCCGAATGTTTTTAAAAGGCTCTAAAGGGGCCAACCTAGACAAGTGTAGCCCAAAGCATAATCCTCCCGAGAAGGATTGCGAACGGGCCCTCTTCAAGGGTTCCATTTCTCGAATCTTTGAGACGCCCTTTGTGCTTGCATCAGGAGCAAGATCCAAGCGGCGCAGAGCGGAAGTGCGAAGAATGAGCAGGCCTGCCTCTACGCCGTGCTATCGCTGATGGTTTCGGGTTTAAGGTGACAATATCATACACTACCTGCTGCCCTTTGAACTACAGGGGTTATGGATTCTGGCTATGGATTCGCCAGGGTTTCATCCATACCGAGAGTATTGACAGTATTGACATAGACCGGTTCGAGAAGCTGACACATGACACACTTGAATTTATGACTTCTGGAAGCTGGACATCCCCTAAGCTAATCCCCCAACCTTACTTGAACTCTAAGAAACCTACTTGTTTGGGTTTCCTTATCATATATGAACTCGTTTTTAAGTCCTAGAAAGGCTATGCAGAGGCTAGTAAACACTTACCCTCAATCCTGTGCCATTAAACAAAGAGGTCGCTGCGGAGCACCGCAAGTTGCGCGAGGTGGCCAAGGACGGCACTTAAGAGCCAGAGGCAACACCACGACGTGTAGGTTATGTGGGATGGGGGTCTGGGCAAAGAGTTCATATCAAACCCTAAACCTTATATACCCTGGTTGAGCTCCCAAACCCTAAGATCCTTCATGTTTATACGGCGGGGGGGGGGGGGGGGG